GCCATATTAACTGCATTATCTCTTATGTGAACATGAATTTTTTCTATGAGAAATATTAAATCGATGTACTGTCTCTCTAACTCATTTTGAAAGCTATAGAATTTTAGAAATACATGAATTTTGTAGAAACAAATTTAGGTTTCATAAAAGAATGTTTACTTATTTAAGTCTCGGTTATTGAAAGGATGATGTATTTTTGTTTATGTATTATGCTATGTAAACAAAAATACATCATTCTGTCAAATTTAATCAACAAATCATTTTCTGGACATTATAATTATATGGAATTTTTAATTTCTACTTAAGAATAATTGAAAATTTGAATTTTAAAGTAAAATTTTATATAATAAGATTCTAAGTTTTTTTGTTTTTTTTTTAGGTTTTTAAACACTTTTTTTTCTTTTTTATACATTAAAAAAAACAATAAACTTAAAAAAGAGCCTAACAGACAATAATGTGAATTTATTTTGTTTATATTACATAATTCTGATTATAATTATTAAATTAATAATTTATAATATTAAATGGGTGATAAAAATAAATTTATTTTGAACTGAAATAGACTTTAAATTTACAAACTTTATGGAAATTTTGAGAACTGAGTAGAAACTTACACTTTTTTCTTTTACACACAAGCAAAATAAATTTACATCATACTTAGGCATTATTATGATCTATAGATTTTAGTGTTACCGATAGTTTAAAGTTAATAAATGTTTATATCCTTTTATCAATAGTAATGGGAATGAAAAATTAAAACAAAAGAAAAAAGCCAAAGCATCTTTTTCAGAATCGGAAGTTAGTTTAAATATTCTCTGATGATGATTCTGACATTTCCAATTCTCATCCCATCACTAATATATATATATATATATATATATATATATATATATATATATATATCATCCACAGACAGATTTTAAGCTATATCACAGCTCTTCAGCATGGCTAGGCATCCAATTGCTTCAAGTTAGGATCGAAACCCGACCAGTTTGGCATCAGTCAGTGATCATTGCACGGCAGAGAGGGAAATTTTAATGTTTTCTATACGAAATACAACAGTAGCCAGGAGAGCACAATTCATAGTTGAAGAGCAATGTGTTAATAGCAGTAGGAGGTACTGTTTTTAAAATTAAAATTTCATGTGCATACACTATTTTCTGAAAGTCACTCAATTTTGTAATTACAGAATTGAGTGCCCTGATGATAGTGTGACTGCCGACAAATAAACAGTGCATGCACATGAAACTTTCAGTCATGGAAAAGCAGCAAAATTTAAATATTGCTTTTTTTATATTGCTCTGTGTACTTACATTGAGCACCGTGTGTTTATGGTGTTTTAATTATCTACTTTATTAAACAATATATAAATTGGATATATATATATATATATATATATATATATATATATATATATATATATATATTATATTTGCTCTGGATTTACATTGAGCTCTCTGGATTTTATCCTCCTTGGGTCTACCATACAGATTACCTAGTTTTTTCATAAACTAAATATATATATATATATATATATATATATATATATATATATATAGGCAAAACAATCACCTGCTATCCTCTTCCACTGCACTGTTTGAGAACCACTGTGCTTCTCGACTTGACGGTCGAACTCTTTGCTTTTGAGCAGAAAGGAACCCGGACGAGGTTCCGCCGAAGGGCAGAATCTCGTTCGGGGAGAATGACTAACCCGATCTTGTTTATACGAGTTATATGGGCATTTTTTGGCCGAGCCTATGGGCTCAGGAAACCCACGTAAAAACTCGGCCTTGTGCCACATGCAACCCTCGTGGGGGGGGTAGATACCGAACCACTGTGCTTGAAAGGATATGGTGTTAAAAAAAAAGTAATTTATTAACCATTTTCACTGGATCGTAAAGTACCAATCTCTACATTGAAACAGTGATTTATTTGACCTGAAATATGAAACTGAACCTAACTGGAATCTAAATTTCTGGCAATGGTGTTTATAATTGAACAATAGAAAATGACAGTCAGATGTCAGTTTAAAGTTAAAATGTATGAATGCTTATCTTTCAGTGTGCTTTATTGATTGGCTCTTTGAAAACTCAGTCAGGTCAAATGCAATAGTTAAAGGTCAAGTTACAAGAGCAGTGACCTTTGATAACTTGTGCTTTTTAAAACAAATTTCATGGGTTATATTTCCCTATAGATTTTTCCTATTACTTTTTTTTTCTTTTAATATTTTGATGGAAAGGAATATTGTAAGTTGTGATAGACTTTTACCAAGTCATAAGCAATCAAGTGTATTTACAAGTTTGTCTTGTTGTGAATGGTGCTAGATGAATGATTCACTCAAATGTATTGGTAGTGTAATGGCTATTGGTGCAGAAAGTGGTATTGGTAAGCAGGATATGGCATTTTCTAGGTTATATTCCGCCATAGATACTTAGCAACATAATGTTAAGAACACATATTCTCCTGATGTCAGTTTAAACTGACACTTTCCTTTTTCCTATATATATAGTGACTATCTTGCTTAAACTTCATACTTTTTGGGGTTTCAGATAAAAACTTGTATATTTTCCAATGTAAGTGAAATTTACACTTGCCATATTTATAGTTATTTTTTTAGATATATTAAAACTAAAATAAAACTGACAAAAAATTTTAACTGACCCGAAGAGAAAATGTGTTAGACTCATGTGTGAAATGTTAATAATATTTAGAACTTACCATCATTTTTTTGCAACACTGCTAAACTAGTATCAATATGATTCTACTGGATATAAAGTGGAAGACTGGTTTTCTATTGCTGTAAAAATATGTCATAATTACTACATATTGGAAATTATATATAACAAAGTGGAAAAAGTTTTTGTGTGATGCGTTTTGTCTTTTAATAACTTCAACAAACTCTGTTTGTGTTGATGTAACTACACATGTGCATAAATGAGACACAATGGGAATTTTAAATTTAGAAAAATTTTTAAATTGTTAAAAAAAACAAGATATTAAACACATTGGTTGCTCACAGTAACAAGACTGACCACAATTTTGACAAAAATGCTACTTTAATTAAAAGAGAACATATGACAAAAATATTTAGAAAGTGCTTTAATCGCTAGTTCATTCCACAGTAAATTTGTGCCCAGATTCTTATAACATTTCACTGTTCTTGGCGTATCTTCTTTTATTAAATGTGGGATATTTAATAACAAAGATGATGGAAAAAAAAGAACCTAAATGAAATTGGAGAGAGTATATATCCAAAGCATTAAAAAAAAAAAAAAAAAATGAAAAATTTTTTCTAAATTTAAAATTCCCAGCTTCTCTCTCTCTTTTTTGCGCATGTATTAGTCACATCAATATAAACAAAGCTCAAACGAATGAAGTCCTCAGGGACAAAACACATCACACAAAAACTTCTTCCACTTTGTCATACATCTTTCCTCCAAAACTGTTCTTGATATATAAAAATTTATATATTGTCATTCATCCTATATATATATATATATATATATATATATATATATATGAACATACACACACACACTTATAACCTCAGTAAGTATCCTAAAAATGGATATATATATATATATATATATATATATATATATATAAGAAAATATATATATATAAAGAACATCAAATATTTTTGAAACATGGTTAGAACTGTGTAGCGAAAAAAAAACATATTTTAAATCAATTAATTTATAATATTTTATATATATATATATATATATATATATATATTTAACCTATATTTTCCTGATATCAATTTTAACTGATGTCATCTTTTTTTCCATATATTGTGATCATTTTGCTTAATCTTCATATTTTACATAAGGGTATCAGTTTAAACTGACACCAGTATAATATGGGTTAAGTATAAATATTTATAAAAAAAATGTGGTTTACCTGTGTTTTCAGGCTCATTTTGAGAGTGAAATATCTCAAGGCCAGAATTATTTTTGTACAAGAGTTCTTCTATTATAAGCATAATTAAAAGCATTTAGATTTGTAAAAATGTCCATTTTTATTGCTTTTAGATCTTCGACAAAACGAGTATCAAAAAGATAGTGGAACATGGACGAAGTGAGTTAAACTAAACCAAGAAAAAAAAAATAAAAACACATTTCCAAATGTTTTTAATTCTTGTAAAGTCAACAAATATCTTCTATGATCACATGAAGCAGAATAAACAGGCCATCCAAAGGTCTAATAACATACACTTTACTTGAATATCTCTGCTTTTACAAGCATATCTGTTATATCTCTTTAAAACACCAATTCTATTGCTTGCAGAAAGAAAGAAACTCATTTTTGGATGATTTTTTTTTTTTTTTAATTTGGAAGTATCTTATTTTCAATTGCTGAGCAATTGCTACTGCATCAGTATTGTGATTTTTCTTACTTTTTACACTTTGCATGTATCTTTGATTTTTGTTGTTTATAGTGATATATTTCATTTTATTGTTGTCCATTTGATTTTATGGGTTCAAAGAGCAAATATTGGCTCGGTTTAATATTTTGTATGGCAAATTGTACAATTCCCCCTACCTGCATCTGAAATCTCTTTAGTTTCAGGAACTTAACTGAATGCCCTCAAATGAACATAACTGTTTTTTGCCACTATTCCAAGTGGCTTCATACAATTAGTGGTTACATCTCTTACTGTAGGTTTTCAAAAGTCTCCTTTTTTGCTGTTGACAATGACATTCCTCCACTGAACAGATGTAAAATGGCAGAGGCATTCAACTCCACTCAGGAGGTATTTGCTATACTCACAGATCCATTATATATATATATATATATATATATATATATAAATAAAAGAGATTATGAGATTTAAAATCTTAATCTGTGAAATTTCTCTGTTCTTGATGGTGTACCTGACAACTTGCCATGCAAAAAGGTTTAAATGAGAATCAATAAAATCAAGTCACTTTTCGTTTCATTTTCATTTTATTTTTATTTTATTTTTTTTTGTGTATGTTTTTATTTTCTTTGGTCAGGAGCTGAAATCTCCTTCCAGCCATTCATCAGTTCCTGTCAATGGTATGCAACCATTTTTATTTTAACATTTAATTTGCCCCCCCCCCCCTTTTTTTAAAAATGTGTTTCTTTTTCTTTTTTTTAAATTTTCCTTTTTTTTTTTAAATCTTAAATTTTATTATTGTTCTTGCCTTAATTTTATTTTCCACTTCTGGACATTGTCATCATTAGCGTTTCACTTCACCATTCTGTTCCTCAGCTTTTAGAATTTATTTCCTCAAAATGTTAGCAATTCAAACAATTTCCTGTAATGCTCTGAATATTTACAAGACAATAGATTACAAAGATGTATTCAATATTTTATCTTCATTCCTACTCACAATTCAGAGATCAATAATATATCCATTTTTAGTCAGCCATTTTGGATGATTGATACTATTTGCCTTTCAAAGAAATAGATTCCCTCTTTTCAGTAGCTGTTCTCTAAATAAATAACAATAGCATATCAGCATACCAAAAAGATAAACCATTTTTGCTATGCATTTGCAATTTTCTGAGAATATGTAATGTTTGTAACTTTTTCTAGATTGTTTATATTACTTCTACACAGGCTTACCATATGCCCTAGTGATGTAAACTAATCTATGTTTTGTATGTATTCATGGATATATATATATATATATATATATATATATATATATATATATATATACACATACACAAACACATACATACATACATACTTTCCCACATACATACTTTCCCGTTGATTTTGATGTATGAGGATCCAACAATGTCTTATTTTTATGTTTGTGCCACATGTGACACTTCAGTCCTGCTAGTGGCCTGAATGTAAGACCACCTATTCTGCAACAGCAAGGATCTGCTGACAGGCATATTTGCTGGTGGTTTTCACTGTTGGCAATATGACTGATTTTTATATATATATATATATATATATATTTCACCTACAAGCGGATTCTACCCACATCAAGAACTAATGTAGATAGTTTCCACTGTCTCTCTGTTCATTTCTTGCATCTGCTGCTGAAGAACACAGGCGTGTTCAAAAAAATTCCAAACTTGGAACCTCAATCTCCATGCTTCATTTTTGTCACCTAGTTAATATTAATAAATGTTTTTCTTACTGATTTCATCAGTACCCTTTCATTTGACTTTATTTTATTGACCAATTTATCTACTCTATTTTAAAAAGTATATGAAGCATATATGGACTCCTTTTTCTAATTATATATATATATATATATATATATATATATATATATATAAAAAACAATGACGTTTTAATCCAACATAATTTCTTATCAAAATTGTATTTGGATTTTATGCATGTTTAAGTAGACATCACTGTTTTTTTTTTAAACAGTGAAATTAATGTTGACCTACTTAAAGATTGCAAGTCTTGCTAAAGAAAACATGTTTCCTGACAGAAATCAAACTTGTAATTCCTTTAAAATCTGGGGAACCACTTTACCTTTAAGCTATGGTAATCTATCACAGTTAGATTTAAATTGTTTTCCCAGATTAAAAAGAAATACAAGTTCGATTTCTGTCAGGTGGCACATTTTCTTTAATAAGATATTTGCTCTCTAGGCCAGTAGACATTAATTTTGCTATTAAACAAAAAAACACATGTACCCACTAAATACAAAGTTTATAATAACAAGATATATAAGGCTTATGGGAATCAGGAAAAAACTTTATCTTAGAAAACCAAATCTATATAATAAATGTGAATGTGACCATATCACTGTGTCAAACTTTTTCAACTTTACTCCTAGAGGCTGTAGCCCAACATATCATACCATTTTGGAATCAGGTCGAATCTGTGAGCAAAGTAAAAACATTCCAGGCCAGATCTAAACTCGAAATGCTAAATCTTTAGATTGCCATGTTTTTATTACTGCAATTGTTTTTGGAAATTTTTTGTACAATATCAATTTTTATAAATTGGAATTAAATTTGGGAATAATCAAACTTAATTGTGAAATCCAGTGAAAGTCACCCATGAAATAAAAATAATTGTTTGTATGGAAAGTAAGGACCTACGTACATCAAATTGTCTTTAAATTAAGTGGCAGCAGAAGAATTATCGTTGAACTTTTAAAAGATAAGTTTAGATATTAATGCAATACTGAAATGCAGTGATCAAATTTGAGTTCTTCTATAGTTTATTGTGGGTGGCAATGTAAGAGGGATGTTGAGTCTGGAGACACCTGCAGTCAGAAATGAACAGAAAAGTCAGAGTTCTCACAGGTTGAAAAGAAGATCTGGTCTATTATTCTCTTATAAGAAAAGATAGAAGTAGTGGCAAAGATGTCCCAAGTCTTACTTATCTACCTACCCCCAGACTGCAGGTGAATCTGTGAAAAAAAGAACTTAATTTAATGAAAACAGGGTTTGTATTTTCTTAACCTCACTATGGCATTATTTCACCTCGCCTCCCCCTTGTTGAATATACACCAGACTTTTTCTTAGTTTTGGTTCACACTGATACAATTGAGAAATGAAACCCATCATTAGATGGAGATGCCCAGTTGTGAATATGAGAGAAAAAACATTATTAAGGAGAGCGTACAATAAATGAACAGGAATTAAGAAGACAAGATAAGGATTAAAAGTAATTATTGCTTATCATTAGAGTAATAGAAATTGCTAATTGATTTAATTTGTGTTTTAAGAATATCAAATTTCATTTCTTCAGTTAATTTTGATTTAAAAGCACTAACAATAATTATTTACTGAAACAAAACCATGAAATATATACTTAGCAAGAAAGCCTCATCTTGCCTCAATTTTCTAAATATTATGGATGATCTATGAATTGTAAATAAACTGTGACCATGGTATAGAGAACTATCATTCATTTATCAGACATAGAAGATGTTTAACTCAGAGCAGCCAAGACAAATCCAACTTTGAATTCTAGTATTAAGTACTAAGAATGACTTAAGTAGATATGTCAACAAATATTCCCATTTTATTCAAAATAAATCCACTTTAGATGTACAGAGATTTATGAATTTTGAGCCTTAGTGCAATGTTCAATTCAGGGATTTGTCCTTGCCTATTGCTGATGGACAAAGGCAACCATTTTTATTTTTTAATTTAAATATTATTTTCCTGTTTATTTTTATGGAATCATACATTTGTCTAACACATTCTAACACATTAACACCTTAGTTGCTATAATAATGAAGTATGTTTGTTTTGGTTTTGTTTTGTATTTAATTAATACCTAATAATACCTAATAATCATTTCTTAATGAGAACTTGGTGTATTTTTAAATACCATATTTAATTTTCTACCAGCAACACCTGTTCACCTTTCTGCAAATTTTTCATAATATTTGTTTTTTTTGTTGTTGTTGTCTTATTGTAATCATCTACATTCACTGTTTTTTCTTCTATTGTTGTTATTTATTAAGCATAACTTAATTTGGCACAAGGCCAGGAGTATGGAGCACCCAATAAGGAGCAAACTCACTTCACATTGGCAATTTTTAACTAGACTAGATTACTAACCATTATCCTATGCCAAGGCACCCATTTTTCTTGTAGTGTTAAACTTATAACTTCTAATACACATTCCATTGTCCTTCTCCAAATCCCTTTTTGTTTAATTTTGTCTATAATGCAATCTTTTTATTTACTTATGTTCATTTGATTTAATAAAATAAAATGACAAAGTGCTAAAACGTTCTTGGTCTGACTCACTTCGCAAAACCTGACCAAACATCTCAGAAGTTTTTAAAAACTTTACTTTCTTGGGTAGATAAATTTCAAGTGCTCCCCCAGCTAAGTATACTTCTACAAATAGTATGTTTACTTAAAATAGAAAAATACATGCCTCGTCAGCTACCTAACATCACAAAAAAAAAAAAAAAAAAAAAAAACTAAAAAACATCTGACCTTGCTAAATTTTTCAAGTAGAAAATAGGACAACTCAACATCCAGTCAGCCTCAGATGATTTCAGGACAATGCAAACCTTGTCATTTATATGCAAGACATATGTCAAAGTTGTTCTGAAACATTTAAGGTGTCTGCTGTATGCAACTGTTTTCCCAGATCAATGGTAAAAAATGGCTTCAATTGAGTGAAGCATGTAGGCTTCATTGAGAACCATCCTTCATTGAAACTTGCCAACAGGCATTACAGAATCACAAAGAACTCTACCAGGTAAGCGAAACCACATCACTCAAGGCCTTTCGACAAAAACAACAACTAAAATTGATATCACATGTCACTTGAAAAGAGAATAATGACATAATCAAGATGTTGATGTTCCACACTATCTCAAATAAAAGGCAAAGAGAGAAATTCCCATCAATACTGGAAAGAGGTTTAACAGTAACTAGGCTTGAGAAACCTATTTTCTGGAAAAATTGTTTGAAGAGTAAGATTTTATAAATTTCAGGTGACAGCAAATTTTCTGAATGTTGTTGCCATAAAAACAATCTTACGACAATTTTGGAATATTTATAAATGTTTTTATTGTCGTCTCTGGAAAAATTGGAAATGGAAAAATGGGTGAGTGATGGAAACTATTTCAGAGATTCAAATCTTTCATTTCCTTTTCAGTCTTTGCAAGATTAAAGTGGTTTGTTTGTTTTCCTCTGACCAATGAAAATCTTCAAAATGTTCCAAATAAATGGAAATCCATTTGAAAGAGTTTCCTTAGACTCAATAATACACATATGTTGCTATCTACCATTTGGGGAATTGATGATACAAGCAGATAAAAGGAGTTCCAAAGCAATATGGATTTTGTGAATAGTATGACAAAGTAGAATTTTCTAATTCTCTTAACATGAAGTTTGTCTAAGAAATTTAATATTTTTGTCTCTGTTTATTTAGGATTATGTTTTTGTGAGAAAAATGTGCATCTTTACTTTTACGATCTTTACTGACTTATCCTCATCTTTGTATTTGATTTAAATTTCAAAATTCTTAAAAATTGTTGGCCCAAATAGATTTCGATCTTTGCAACAGATTTCTTGATTCATTTCTCGTTGGTGACATTTATCAACTTCCTAGCATAAAGAAAAGATGTTTTCAAGTTGAGTTTATTTTTCTCCAAATTTAATTGGGATTCTGCCCATATATTTATATATTAGAATCTATGTGTAAAAATTTAGATATAAATGCAATATAATTAAAAGACAAAAGGAGAACTCGTTTTTACCAATAATTTTCATCTCTTGTGGAACTTTATCAATGATAAAGTTCCCCAAGGGACAAAATGCTCTGGTAAAGAAAAGCTTTCATGTTAGAATTTATGTTTATTAGTGAAAGGTCTTACACGTCACTATTTCAAATGCATGATGGCAACATTAGCTATTTCCTTATAAAGAAATATTCAGCATTCATTGATTGAGTGGCCCGAAATTTATAAACCTTTTCTTTTAAAAGAAGTTTTCAGGAAAACGGATTTTTCAAGTCCACCAGCTGTTATCACTCTTTCCAGTATTGACGGGTGCAATTACCATAACTTTTTATTTGAAATGCCCTAATTCTCTCTTTGAGTTACATATGCTATCCATTTTAGTTGTTGCCACTGTTGAAAGTCCTCAAAATGTAGTTTGTTATTTGGTACAGTTCTTTGTGATTTTTTAGCATGAGTTTGAAGAATGATGTTCCCTGCTGAGACGTATTTGCCTCGTTCCCTGCTGAGACGTATTTGCCTCGTTCCCTACCGAGACGTATTTGCCTCGTTCCCTGCCAAGACGTATTTGCCTCGCTCCCTGCTGAAACCTATTTGCCTCTTGCTTGAAGCTATTTGTCTTTTTAATTATTGATCTTAGAAAGCTGTTGTATACAGTTGACAGTTTAGATATTTTCGAATGAGTTTTGGCATAATGCATGGCATCCATATGAAAGTCTCAATCTGACAAAGATTATTTAAGAAGTAGACATTAATTATTGGAAATGCAAACATCATGTTTCTTCTTTGATGTTCTACTAATTAGATGATTACAGCTTTTGTTGTAGTGAGATGAAAAGAAATTTATCTGAAATGATAAAAGCAATAAATGCTTTTTATATTACATGGCAAGTCATTTATGCTTGTGATGGTGACAAAAAAATAACACACACACACTTTATTTGTACTTACATTAGTGGATGTGTGGGTAACTTAACAGATACTAGTGTGAAAAATGGAATCAGCAAGCTGGGTTCAAATTCTAGGCTTGTCTGTTGCATTCACTCTCACACTAATACCCTTGGGAATGGTAAAACTCCATCTCCTTCCAGTGATGGATTAAATAGCAGGGTAGCTTTGAATGACAACCAGTCTAAGAGGATGAAAACTCTGAATTCCAAAAAGTGGAGATGGTGACAGGAAACTACCCCAGAATCATTTCCCTAAGAGTCATGGCCTTTCCTACATAATAAAGAAAAAAAAGAATCTGATAGGATGTTACGTAAGAGACGATAAAAGGACAGTGTTGTTTGCTAAATGTTAGAATAAAAAGAGACTTTCAAAATTTAAGGTAGTATATGATCCACCCAAACTCTAGTCAAGTTTATATTCAAACTTTATTCCTTAACCTTTACCATGCTAATTTCTTTTTTAGAATTGTTCTCCCTGCCACTGCATTTTTTTCTGTGGGTGCAAAAACCTACTGTTTTAAAATTATAACTTTATTTGTACTGTGCGTATAGATTTTAATTTTTTGTACACTAATAAAAGACTGAATGAGTAATATTTTGATGTAATGCATTACGTTTTGCATGCATGTTTTGATTTTGAAAACAAAAATATTGAAACACGAAATAAAAAACAAATACATTAAAAATACATACATAATTCAACGTATTTTAACTTTTATTACCCCTTGTGGAATTCTGGGGGTTCAATAAGAAGTAAAATCGCTAAGAAGGCTTTCATTTTGTCAAAAAGTAGCGTGTTTCCTCGTGTTTACATATGAGAAGACACAAGCATTTGTTTGTTCTTTCTTTCACTTGACTCATTTGTCTCATTGACATGTACTTGTTGACAAATAAAGTCATTATTTGGTCGTTTATAAATAGACAAAATAATTCACCTTTAGAAAGGCTATCAGGTATATTGATGGTTGCCAGTAGTTTCCATAAAATTAGTCAGGCATGGGTTAGTGGTGATTTTTTTCTTTCCACCACGTCAATGTGGTTATCATCTTTGACAACTTCACCATCAATATCCACTTGAGTAAAGCCTTCAAAATCATTATCGGAGTCCCAATCAAAGAAAAACTCTTGAATAAAGGCTTTTTTGGATGTTGATGCGGCCATTTTTGTTTACAGAAAAATGTTGGTTTAATCGGTGTCACACCTCATATAGAGTCTAGAAGAATTCAAAATGGCGTTGGAAAATAGAAGTTTAGCCTTGTTCCAAAGCAGTAGTAGGTGATTTTAAAACACCAGAAATAACAGTTGACAAGTGTTTATTTATAGCAACCATCTCAAGGCCGCAGAATGTGCCTAGAGCAGCAAAGAGAGAATTCTATGGTGACAATTTTTGCCTCCAGCATGGTAAAGGTTAAATTCTGTAAATTCAATATGAAGGAGGACAAGTATGAATACATTTGGTACATGCATTTTCAGAATTGGTCAAAAGGTTTTTGCTGCAAAATACTTGCTTGCACTTTGCGACCCTTAGATGTTGATGTATAGAAAGAAAAATTGTTTCTTCAATCTTATCGTTTGTTGTTGAGATATAAATATATGTTGCAAAAAATAGCAGTGATAATAAAAATAAAGAGTTTTTAGGATATTCTACAATATTTTGCCTTTGAAGATTCAGCCTCTAAATATTTGAATTTTGTACATTTATTCTTATGAACTACTTCTCAAACATATAGTTGCAATTACTCCAAGTGATGCTACTCCATTTTTAGCAGAAAGTGGATTTTGATGATGGATGCTCAGCATCCAACGTAGACTCAAAAATATTCAAATATTAATCTGCAATGTATATTTTTTCCAATTAAAATTCATCCAAGTGTGTATTTGTCACCCACTTTTTCACTGTAGACAATGCACCTACACAATTATCCAGCACTTCCAAGTCTGCCTGTCGTGTGTCCGGCCTTTCTAAATCAAGAGGGGCTAAGAGCAAACAGTCCAATGCCAGTGTTGGAGCCAAGCCTTCTGGACAGCAGAGTATCAAGGACATGTTCTCCAAGTTTGCCTATAGCAAAGGGTATGTAGCCTCACCTTTAATCACTTTCCAAATACACCTGCCTGTTTGCTACCATTTCTTTTTTATTTTATTCAAAACATTTCCCTACTGTACAGTATTAGATCAATATTGTTCATTAATATATTTAACATAATTACATTCTAAAAATCTTGCCAGGAATTTTGAATTGTATGTAGTTTTCTTGTTATTTTTTCTTATTTATTGGGAATTAAATTGTATTGTTTGCATTTATCCAATGTTTTAACAGCAGTTGATCTGTTTTCAAGAATTATATTGTTACATTTATTTTTAGCTTGCATTTAATACAGATGACTGGATTCTTGGTATATGATATTTATCGGACATAAATGTTATAAATGTGTCATTTTTTTATTGTTCTTGTAATACTGAATATTTACTTTTCATATATTATTTTTTTGCTGTGTGTGTGTAATATATATATATATATATATATGTGTGTGTGTGTGGAGTCCCATTAAAGAGTTGTAGAAAAATGCAATAGAGTTAAGTTACTATCACTGGAAACTCATTTTTTGTACAAAACCAGCTCACACAAAAATCTGTGCATTTTGTAGGGTCTAGATTTGAATTTCTACATTTGTATATATTTTCCAATCATCAACATCATAATGTGCTGTAGTCTTTGAATTTTCACGCGACAATGTTTATTGTCTGCTACAAAAATTTGAAGGCTCATTTCAGAAAACGATCAACGATATTTTCTCTCCTTAAAATATCTTAAAATAGATATTTAAAAATTGGAAAATATTTATTAACCCATAAACTTATGAGTTCAATAAAATCTAACTTAGTTTTTGTAGAGCCAATTTCTCAGTTATAAAAGCACATATTAGTTTGCAGAATTTAGTTCATCAGTTAACCTTTGGCCAGGGTCAATTGTTCATTGTACAAGCTGAAATTCTCAAACTTTAATTACTCACATTTTCGCATATTTATTTAAGAATACTATATTACAAAAAAGGCTTAGTGATGTTAAAAGACATAAAAAACATATGGACTGAATTTGTTTACAAATGTAAGCAGTAGTATTAACACAGCTCAGTGCCTATCAGCTGCTAGGAAATTACGCACATACATAAAATTACATAAATACATGACACACTCATTCTCATACATAGATGCATTCTATTTTCTGAACTAACACAATTGGATCGATTGTAAGCAAAGAAAAACAAAAATATTTTTGTGTGAAGTTGTTTCACAAAGAATATTTGTAATTCATTTCTTTCACTTTGAAAGAAAAATAATACTCAATAATAAAAATTTGTTTAAATTTGTAGAGCCGTGTTGAAGATTGCTTATTTCTTCATTTTATCCATGCATATTGCTCTACGCATGCATATATATATATATATATATATATATATATATATATATAATATATATATTGAATATCAGAGATGGATGGATTGTATAAAATAAATATAAAAGTGGACACTGAACTCAACACCAAGTGGTGACAGTCTGTTTCATACTGAAGATTTCATTCAAGCACTAAACAGACTGTCATTGTTTGGTGTTAACCTTTATGTTTGAAGAGAATGTACTTTTTTAAAAAGCAAAAATAGTACCTTGTTTGCTGTGTTGTCCACCATGGCAGAGCAGTAAAGCACACTGGGTCAAATGATTGTTGCAAAAGTGGGTATATAGGTTGGAGCCCTGCTGTAGAATGCATTTTTCTTTTCCCAAGATTTCTTGAATGCGCAGGCCAGTAGATGTAATACACATTGTTTAATAAATAAATATGGCACAGGGTAATGGATTTTCATGGTGTCACATGTTGTGATCAGCTCTCCTGATTGATGACATCAAGAAGTTACTGCTCTGACAAAACTCCATCTCATGATTGGAAAGCAAATGTTCTAACCACTTGACCCAAGCCTTGGGAGGTAAATTGAGTCAATATAGTTGTGTTAGCATAAAGTCGCAAGTAATCTTGATCAAGGGTTTGAGCATACCAGACATATTCAAAAACTGTTGAACATGAGATATTATGATCTACCCTTTCCCAGAAACTGTAACTAAAAACTGTACAGTATGTTTTCAGTATAAACCACAGGTGTGTGTATATGTGTTGAATAAAAACAGACAAAAATGTGATTGAACAGGCATTTGTAAAAGGGATTGACTAATCACCTTAGCAGATGGGTGTACTTAGAAACAAGAAGCAGGCTATCTTATTTTTTATTTAAAAAAAAAAAAAATATTAATAATTTCACCCCAAGCACGGGAATAAAGCCACTAGGATGTAGGAGGTTACAGTGTGTGTGAGGGTATGAAAAAAAACAAAAAAAAAACCTACTATAAAGGAGAGACAAAACAAAAAAAAAGAACAATTAAGAAGACAGAAAATAACAATTGACATTGCATTTAAATTTTTGAAGATCAAAGTTGATTGGGAAGCAAGAAGTGAAATAGAAGAAACTATTAGTATAAAACTTACAATTACATCCACAACCATTTCATCTGTAAAATGATGAAATCTTGCTGCCAATATATTACTCCACTTAAATTCATAAAGTCTATGTAATATAGCGGAAAGTTCATCACAACAATTACTGTGAAAGTATTTATAGAAAACACACAGGGAAGCTATGTTACAGCAGTGGAAAAGAGACTGTAGCTGAGATGCCAGGTCAAGACCAATAATATTGCAAATTCTTCTTTGAATTTTATCAATAATCTCAAAATATATATCTGGAGCACCAAACCATATGTGGTAGCAATATTCAAAGCCTGGGTGAATGGTAGACTTGTAAATATGGAAGATAGATTCTGGCAAGAAAAATTGTCTAGCTCAACATAGTGAGCCAACTTTCTTAGATGCATACTTAGCAATTCAATATATTCTTTTCCATAGCAAACATTAGTCTGAGAAGGCGAAATGAGTCACTCTCTTGGAGGTTAGCATCAACCATGCTGATGGAAGGTAAAAAGGGTTCTCTCAGATGATTAAAAGGGAGCAGTTTTGTTTTTGAGGTTTTAAATTAACAAGCCATTCCTTCCTCCATTTAACAATAGATTGTAGGCCATTTATATATATATATATATATATATATATATATATATATATATATATATATATATATATATATATAATAAATGCGAATGTCAGTGTATCACATTTTTTCAACTTTACTCTTAGTGGCTATGACCCAACATATCATACCATTTTGGAATCAGGCCAAGTCTATGAGCAAATTAAAGACATTCCAGGCTGGATATGGACCTGCAATCCTGAAATTTTGGATTCCCAAGATTTCATTCCTGCGATTGTTTTTGGCCTTTTTTTTTTTTTTATATGCGATTTTTCTTGTAGGATAACAATTTTTATAACTTGTGAATAAATGTGGAAATAATTGTGGAATCCAGCAAGTCACCCTTGAAATAAAAATAATTGTGTGGAAAGTAAGGACCTACATACATTAAATTGTCTTTAAATTAAGTGAGGGTAGAAGAATTATTGTTGAGCTTTTAAGAGGTACGCTTAAGTATTAATGCAATACTTAAATGCAGTAATCAATTATGACTCCTTCTGTAGTTTATTGTTGCCTATCGCGTCTACTCCTCCCTACCTATTGTGATGAAGGCCCAATCAAGAGCCCTCTGCAGGAGCTAGCTTAAATACTGCCCAATAGGGTGGCTTTTAAGTTAGTTTTTACAACCTATGATAACAAATTTAATTGAAACATAAACATAATGGTACATTATTCCACTGACATAATTTCTAATGAAGCCTGTTAAAATCATAAATGTCTTCCTACTTGTTCCTTATTTAATCAGATATTTATCTAATCTTACTTTTGTGATTCTTGTTTTAAACAAAGAAACTCCTGAAAAAAGAAATTACTTACAATTAGAAAATAGATGTTACCTAAATAAATTTGGATAATAAATAAAGGCATTTATTTTAAAGTATTTTATTTATTATTGTATTCTACAGAGTGAAACAATTAATGATAAAATATATATATGATTGAAAATCATCAGATTATGAGAATGAAAAAAAGATGTTTCTTAAAAGTTCAACAAAGACTAAATTACACACAGGTACATCAGAGCAAGGACAAACTCGTGATTCAAGTTTGCAAAAAAAAAAAAAAAAATAATAAAATTTAATTTCTGCTTCAGATCTTCAAGTCCTGAAGTTGAAAAGCTATAAAACCTGTGATTGCTTAAAAATTGCTTAGAAAATTGTCTCCTAAAGTTCATCAGTGGTCACAGAATGGGTAAGGGGATATACTAACTATATAGTAAATAAAAGTTGCTAGATTTTTGTGGGTGGGCACAGTAACTGTCAAAAATCTAATGTTACATAATTCATACCTAGTTAAGCATTATTGTTTTATTCTTATTAAAATACAAATTTTCTATAGATGTGATAGGTGGGAAATTCATTTGGTTCTTGAATAAAAGTAAGAATGTTGGAATAAGTGGGGTTTTAGGAAAGATCTGAGGTGTGGTTAGGGTTAGTATTGAATTTAGTTTATTTAAATGAAGGAATGACAATCAAGCAGTAAATTATTTAAAGAGAGTCAAAACAATTTTATCAAAGTTTTTACTGGAAATAAATTTAAACCTTACAATGTTTCTAATGATATTCTTCACGAATGGTTAGTCATAAAGCTATGAACTGATTGTGAAAAAGTTTTTTTAAAAATTTTTTTACAATAATGTTTACTCTGTTTAAGTCTTCTCAAGATAGAGGGTTATAGAGTAAGAGGCGCAGTTTATGAGAATATGTGGTGGAAGATGACAGTTAACCCTAGACTTGAATAGGTTAAGACTAGTGATCAGGAAGCATCCACTTGTTAGTCAGTTCCAAAAAGCAGTAGTTTGTGGGAAGAAGCTGCTTGAGTAGAACTTACATCTTAACAATAGGATATGAAGGGAATAAGAATGGTTTGCTACAATGGGTGTGGCATGGTGGGTCTTAGCTGTGCAAGTTAGAACTGGTGCAACTAAGGAATGTAGTTTAC